CATCTCCACCACTAATGCGATGACGTCACTTCAAAATTGTACATAGTAAATGGGTTTTCAATTGTATAAAATAACATAATCCTACACATGTAGTTTACAACTCCGAATCGACTTTTCACCCGAAACGTCCAGATTTTTGGAAAAAAAATCAAAATTATAAAACAACATTTTGAAATTTAATTTTTAATCTGCTAACCAGAATGCTTTGAAATGTTGCAGATGTTTTAAGGCTATAAAGAGCATCATAAATCTTTAGTCAAAAAATATTTGCTTACCCCCTCCAAAAACTTGATGACGTCAGCTCAAAAGTTTGTGGAATAAATCATATCTAAAATGTACAAAATATGATGAGTCTGTACTTGTGATCTATCACTCCATTCATATTTTTTGGATTTGCATATACAGGGTGACTCAAAAAAATTAATGAATGCGTAAATATATTTTATTGATTTAATCAGGAACTACAAAACCGAATGCTCTGAAATCTTGCAGATGTTTTAAGGTCATAAAGAGCATAATAAATGTTTAGTCAAAATATATTTGCTTATCCCCTCCAAAAACTTGATGACGTCAGCTCGAAAGTTTGCCGAATAAATCATATCTAAAATGTACAAAATATGATGAGCCTGTACTTGTCATTTATCACTCCATTCATATTTTTTGGATTTGCATATACAGAGTGACCCAAAAAAATTAATGAATGCGTAAATATATTTTATTGATTTAATCAGGAACTACAAAACCGAATGCTCTGAAATCTTGCAGATGTTTTAAGGTCATAAAGAGCATAATAAATGTTTAGTCAAAATATATTTGCTTATCCCCTCCAAAAACTTGATGACGTCAGCTCGAAAGTTTGCCGAATAAATCATATCTAAAATGTACAAAATATGATGAGCCTGTACTTGTCATTTATCACTCCATTCATATTTTTTGGATTTGCATATACAGAGTGACCCAAAAAAATTAATGAATGCGTAAATATATTTTATTGATTTAATCAGGAACTACAAAACGGAATGCTCTGACATCTTGCAGATGTTTGAAGGTTATAAAGAGCATAATAAATGTTTAGTCAAAATATATTTGCTTATCCCCTCCAAAAACTTGATGACGTCAGCTCGAAAATTTGCCGAATAAATCATATCTAAAATGTACAAAATATGATCAGTCTGTACTTGTGATCTATCACTCCATTCATATTTTTTTGATTTGCATATACAGGGTGATTCAAGAAAATAAATGAAAGCGTAAATTTATTTTACTGATTTACTCAGGAACTACAAAACCAAATGCTTCGAAATCTTGAAGATATTTTAAAATTATCATAAGCATGGTAAATTTTTGATCAAAATGTATTTGGTCGTCCCCCCTAAAAAATTTATGACGTCACCACAAAATTTTGCTGAATAAATCCTATCTAAAATGTACAAAATATGGTGAGTCTCTTCTTGTGATTTATCATTCCATTCAAATTTTTTCGATTTGCATATACAGGGTGACTCAAAAAAATTAATGAATGCGTAAATATATTTTATTGATTTAATCAGGAACTACAAAACCGAATGCTCTGAAATCTTGCAGATGTTTTAAGGTCATAAAGAGCATAATAAATGTTTAGTCAAAATATATTTGCTTATCCCCTCCAAAAACTTGATGACGTCAGCTCGAAAGTTTGCCGAATAAATCATATCTAAAATGTACAAAATATGATGAGCCTGTACTTGTCATTTATCACTCCATTCATATTTTTTGGATTTGCATATACAGAGTGACCCAAAAAAATTAATGAATGCGTAAATATATTTTATTGATTTAATCAGGAACTACAAAACCGAATGCTCTGAAATCTTGCAGATGTTTTAAGGTCATAAAGAGCATAATAAATGTTTAGTCAAAATATATTTGCTTATCCCCTCCAAAAACTTGATGACGTCAGCTCGAAAGTTTGCCGAATAAATCATATCTAAAATGTACAAAATATGATGAGCCTGTACTTGTCATTTATCACTCCATTCATATTTTTTGGATTTGCATATACAGAGTGACCCAAAAAAATTAATGAATGCGTAAATATATTTTATTGATTTAATCAGGAACTACAAAACGGAATGCTCTGACATCTTGCAGATGTTTGAAGGTTATAAAGAGCATAATAAATGTTTAGTCAAAATATATTTGCTTATCCCCTCCAAAAACTTGATGACGTCAGCTCGAAAATTTGCCGAATAAATCATATCTAAAATGTACAAAATATGATCAGTCTGTACTTGTGATCTATCACTCCATTCATATTTTTTTGATTTGCATATACAGGGTGATTCAAGAAAATAAATGAAAGCGTAAATTTATTTTACTGATTTACTCAGGAACTACAAAACCAAATGCTTCGAAATCTTGAAGATATTTTAAAATTATCATAAGCATGGTAAATTTTTGATCAAAATGTATTTGGTCGTCCCCCCTAAAAAATTTATGACGTCACCACAAAATTTTGCTGAATAAATCCTATCTAAAATGTACAAAATATGGTGAGTCTCTTCTTGTGATTTATCATTCCATTCAAATTTTTTCGATTTGCATATACAGGGTGACTCAAAAAAATTAATGAATGCGTAAATTAATTTTATTGATTTAATCAGGAACTACAAAACCGAATGCTTTGAAATCTTGCAGATGTTTTAAGGTTATAAAGAGCATAAAAATTTTTAGTCAAAATATATTTGGTTATCTTCTACAAAAAACTGATGACGTCAGCTCAAAAGTTTGCCGAATAAATCGTATCTAAAATGTACAAAATATGACGAGTTTGTACTTGTGATTTATCATTCCATTCATATTTTTGGATTTGCATATGCAGGGTGACTCAAAAAAATTAATGAAGGCGTGAATTTATTTTATCGATTTAATCAGGAATTACAAAACCGAATGCTTTGAAATCTTGGGAATATTTTAATGTTATTATAAGCATGGTAAACTTTTGTTCAAAATGTATTTGTTCATCCCTCCTAAAAAAATTGATGACGTCACCCTTAAATTTTGCTGAATAAATCCGATCTAAAATGCAAAAAATATGATGAGTTTGTGCTTGTGATTTATCATTCCATTCATATTTTTTAGATTTTCTTAAGAGGTGGTTCAAAAAAATTAATGAAGTCAATTTATTTTATTGATTAAATTAAAGGCAACACTTATTATTAGTATTACACCCCAACCAACCCAATTTGGTAGACACAAAATTTGTTAAAGGAAAAACTCGGTTGAAACATAAGGGTAGCATCGCTTATTTACATCGACTTTAACATTACAGACCTGCATTTGTTTTATGCGATCACTTGGTTCCGCGAATGTGAAATAGACATGTTTATAATCAACCAATTGTGAATTTCACCGTCAAGAATTAAAATAAAACCCAATGTTTTATATAATAAGCGGAAGTCGAAGCAATAAAACCGATGGTCGTTTTGTTTACAGTTTATCTGTTTGACTTTCACGTATGCTGTTACGCTTGTCATCTTAAATTAAGAATGTTTATACATAAACGATTTTCAGTTGCCGTATACGCGAGTAAATTGTTTCGTTATTTTATTGATTATAAAAAATCAATATTCAAAACGACCCAATTCATTTTCCCGAAAATTTGGGAATACAATAATTTTATTCTTAGTATTACACTACATCTATCCCAACTGATATACGTGTCCTTGCAAAAATGTTGATGACGTCATCGCAATTTTTTTTAAATTCCCACTACAAAAATGTAATGAGAAAAAAACACAATAGCCATGCAGTCGTTAAGTTTCCGACAGCGAGGGAAGTACTGTCTAAACTCTTTAGACCAATTTTTTTAACTGCGCATTTATTTTATATATTTTATATTTTTTCCTGTAATTAGGTTTGTGTCCGTTGGAAATAGAGAAATTGTCCTTGAATTTTCTCAAGTTCACTAATGAAACATCGTAAACATGACTCCAAAGCACCGAAGCATATTCATTCCAGTTATGAATCTTACACGAATTATCTTCAAGTTTTTGACATTTCGCTTCTATTTGTGTTAAAATTTTGAAGGGACCTAGTAATTTTTTTGTGGGGATAAACAAATATATTTTGATTAAAAATTTACAGGTTCAAAATTAAATTGCAAAACGTTGTTATAAAATTTCGATTTTTTTCAAAAATTTTCACGTTTCGGTTAAAAACACAACACGTATTCATAAACTACAGGTGAAGGACTATGTTATTTGATACAATTTAAAAACCATTTACTATTTACAATTTTGAAGTGACGTCATATATTGTTGGTGGGAAATATTAGACAAAGTTTGGTTAGCGTTTTACCATCTACATATATTCGTAGTACATATATAAAATTTGACAATAAAAATCCGGGACGGCAGACAGACGGACAGACAGACAGACAGACAGACAGACAGACAGACAGACACACAGAGAGACAAACAGACGGAAACGGGAGAAAATATGAGAGCAGCCAGTCAACGACTTAATTATAGCTTACGCTCAGGAAGTAAAAAATCAATCCAAAATCTACAATTTCCATCTTAATCATAATTAGATAGCGATCATAAAATTGTTACATATTTTAATAGTAAATCTCTCCTGTGGAAGAATGTTTATCAAGAAATTTAGTGTATACTGTTCTACCAGGAATAAAATTAATTATTTTCTCCGGTTTTATTAATGATATAATTTAAACGACTTAATAAAATAGATTCTTTGAATGACTAGAATAAATCTTGCACAGAACTGGTTAAAACCTTACCGAGAGATCAACATATTAAAATTTACTTGAAAATATAGTAATTTAATTGTACAGTAGAACAGATATATTTAAAATCAGGAAAAATGGTCAGTCATAGACTGATAAATATAGGAGTAAGAAGTACTTAATTTCGCAGTAAATAAATTGTCCGAATTATTTTCGTAGAAGGCGCTGCTTAAAAAAAATAATGTGCATGCTTAAGTACTACTATCTTACTTACCTTGGATTTTTTTCTTATTCGCTGATGCAGGAGAGATAAAAGAAGAAATCACATGACTTGAGACTGGTTGCGACTTTACTATATTAAATTATATTTCATTTGGTCCCATTTATAGAAATTTGAGGAAATTTTGTCCTTGCATTTGTCACAATACTTTACAATTAAGATGTAACTGTCTAGTGCCACGTTTACCTTCCGGAAGACAATTAAACACACTTATTAAAAACACATTCGGTGCTGTTCACTTTTTGTGCGGTGAATTTATACTTCACTATGTTTTGTTCTTCCTTTTTCTGCTATTCATTTTCAATGGTAACTTCGAAAATCCCAAGGATGACAAATGCAATGAATCTGAAAAAGAAAATTTATTAATAGTTTTTTTATTATTATAAATTATTTTATATTTATTTTATTCTAATATTGGTATTATAGCTATTTATTTAAGGAGTTGTGAGAAGCTTCATTTTACGTTTCGGAGGCTTTTATAACGCGCTTAATATATCCTATAAGAATTTTCTAATTTTTGGTGCTACCAGATTAATTTATCTACATTGCTATTCAATCTGGGATTAGAGGCGGAAATCATAAGAAACAGTAAAATTAACTCACATTAAGCCTGACTAGCATTAAATTTCACAAAAGTTATTGAGTACTTATTTGCTGTCACCAGTTGACGAAGAAACAAAAAATACAACACAAACATGGCCGATTCTGAAAATCCTTTGGACATTGAGGAAGCAGCTATTGTAATAGTGTCTTCATCAATATCGGAAAAATCCAAAGAAAGGTATAATCTAGCTTGCCAACGTCAATAAATTTGTTAATACATATTTCTTAACTAGTTTTATAAAATATTTCGTCACTAGTTATGAAACATTAGCGATTCCAAAACGTCAATCAGTTTAGAAAAATGTCACTTTTCATATCAAAATTAGAAAATAGTTATTTACATTACAGGTGCCAAAAGTGCCGAATAGTATAATAACGAGCGATAATGTGACTCGGGGCGATGTTGGAGAGCTACATGTAAGTGAGCTATTCGGCTTTGGCGTGATTAATATACATAATTTTTTGTGCTGCTTTTTTTAAAATTAAGTTTTTTAAGAAATAATAATTTTAGTAATAGGTATTACCAGTGCAATGTTCGTATAAAATTTTTGTGTTTTCGCCTAGATGGAGTTTACCCTGTACGAAGTTATCAATTATTATTATTAAATCGATTGAACTTCATTAGTTAACAAACTCGGCATAACCTCTTAAAGTTTCTCTCTAATTTAGTCAACAATAAAATCAGTTATCCGTTTTTGTTAAATAAGCATAATTTTATTGTTCCTCGCATTAATTCAAGACAAAATTTAACGTTTCATACTTTTTCATTCAAAACTAATTAATATTTTACGTAGGTCTCCCGTAGTTTTAATGTTTAATTGTTTAACAAAATTTCAAAAGTCATTGTTGCGGGTCTAGGTTCATACACTTTTAGTTTTCATTTTTCATTGTCATTTTTATTTTTACTTCCCGAGCGTAAGCAAAGGAAGTATTGTAATCGAGTCCGTCGGCCGACTCTCTACTTTTACGTTTTCTCGATCTTTCATGACCCCTAGAAGACGAAGAAATAGGTCTCCCATTTCCGCCTGTCTGTCCGTCTGTCCGTCCGTCTGTCCGTCTGTCTGCCGTCCCGGATTTTTATTAGACAGATAATCTCCGAAAGTACTGGACCGATTGTTGTGAAATTTTGTACTTATATTAGGAATATCATGTAGATGGTAAAACGCTAACCAAAATTTGTCTAATCATCCCCATCACTAATGCGATGACGTCACTTCAAAATTGTACATAGTAAATGGGTCTTAAATTGTATAAAATAACATAGTCCTACACATGTAGTTTACGACTTCGAATTAAGTTTTTACCCGAAACGTACAGATTTTTGGAAAAAAAATAAAAATTGTAAAACAACATTTTGCAATTTAATTTTGAATCTGCTAACCCGAATGTTTTGAAATGTTGCAGATGTTTTAAGGCTCTACAGAGCATCATAAATCTTTAGTCAAAATATATTTTTTGGTTATTCCCTCCAAAAATTTGATGACGTCAGCTCAAAAGTTTGCCGAATAAATCCGATCTAAAATGTACAAAATATGATGCGTCTGTACTTGTGATATATACTCCATTCATATTTTTTGGATTTGCATATACAGGGTGACTCAAAAAAATTAATGAATGCGCAAAATTTATTTTACTGATTTACTCAGGAACTACAAAACTGAATGTTTTGAAATCTTGCAAATGTTTTAAGGTTATAAAGAGCATAATAAATTTTTAGTCAAAATATATTTGGTTATCTTCTCAAAAAAACTGATGACGTCAGCTCAAAAGTTTGCCGAATAAATCCTATCTAGAATATACAAAATATGATGAGTCTGTACTTGTAATTTATCATTCCATTCATATTTTTTGAATTTGCATATTCCGGGTGACTCAAAAAAATAATGAATGGGTAAATTTATTTTATTGGTTTACTTAGGAACTACAAAACCGAATGCTTTGAAATCTACTGCGAAAAAAAAACATAATAGACATGCAGTCGTCTAGTTTCCGACAGCGAGGAAAGTACTGTCTAAACTCTTTAGTCCAATTTTTTAAATTTGCTTATACAAGGTGACAAAAAGATTAATGAAGAATCAGTCAACTTATTTATTTGAATGAATCCATACTTTGAAGTCTTGCACACGTGCTAAAGTTATTGTAAGCCTGGTAAATTGCTAATAATAATAATTTTAATTCCAACAGACTAACGTCTATGGTGGAAACACACAGAGTTACATTAGTAGGTACATACTTGTAAACATTAATACAGAAAAAAAAAAACTAACAAATTTCAACTTAAAACTAACAGGTTCTTAAAGTGAACAGAGGAAAAAATATGATATGATACGTTTACTTACATTGTGGTTTAAATATACATAAATATATACGCTTAATTAAAAATTTTTACAAACAATTAAAAATTTCTACAAACAGTTAATAGCTTTAATTTAAGTCTTGGATTATAAAAATTGTCAAAAAATACGTCTACTCCATGAGGTATTATACAATTAGACAGTCTTAAACATCTGATTAGTGGACTGTTAAAATGGTGATAAGTACATGGTACTTTGTAATAAAATGTTGTTGGAGTGCGACAGTTTACACGTGGACAAACAAACTTTATACTCTCTAATATAGATGTACAAGATATGTTACCGTTTATCAGTTTTTGCATAAAAGATATACATGCCATATTCCTACGACTTTGAAGTGAGGATTCACCTATAATATCAAATAGCGCTCTTGAATCACAGTGCTGAGGCGGATAAGTACCATACATTTTAAAATAGATGAATTTAGCAATTTTTCGTAATACATTTTCAACGAGGTTAATATAAACTTGATAATAAGGCATCCAAATTATGCAACAATATTCAAGTTTGCTTCTCACTAAAGTATAAAACAATATTTTAATACTAAATACATCTTTAAAATCTGTTCCATTTCTTATAATAAACCCTACCGTTCTTAGAGAGCTATTAACCATTTGTTCGATATGTGGGACGAAAGACAAAGTAGAATCAATTATGACTCCTAAATCTCTGTATGCATTACACTTTTGTAACAGTACACCATTGATATTATAATAAAAGTTAATTTTATCTATCTTTCTCGTGCAACTCATGATTTTGCATTTGTCTTTATTAATTTCTAGTTTATTAATACAACTCCAAGTAATAAAATTATCTAAATTGCCCTGCAGCTTTAAGCAATCATTATTAGATCTTATGATGTTAACTATCTTTAAGTCGTCTGCGTATATGAAACATTTGCAGTTAAGATGTTTTACAACATCATTGAAGAAAATTACAAACAGCAAAGGACCTAAGTTAGAGCCTTGAACAACCCCACTATTTACAATAAACTCAAAAGACTTAAATCCACCGTACTCGACAAACTGCCTTCTTCCCATAATCATTGATTTTAATAAGAGCAATATATTATCACAAAATCCATACATTTCAAGTTTTTTAAACAGAACACAATGGTTTACACGATCAAACGCTTTCGTCAAATCCGTGTATAGCACATCTACCTGCAAACCATCATCTAAAGCAGTAGACACAAACTGAGTAAATTCATATAGATTTGTGACAGTCGATCTTCCTTTGACAAAACCATGTTGTTCTGGTACTATATAGTTTATAACATGAGAATATATATTGTTGGATAAGATACATTCAAATAGTTTTGCAAAGTTTGATAATAGTGCTATGGGCCTAAAGTTTTGGATATTTGACTTATCTCCTGCTTTAAAAACAGGATATATTTTTGATAATTTCCACATGAACGGATATTTGCACGATTTTAACACTAAATTAAAAATATAACATAGTGGAACTAATAAACAACGGATACAGTCTACAACAAAAAACGCAGGTACATTGTCAGGACCAGATACTAAGTTGGGTTTAAGTTTCATCACAGCTTTTAAGATGTCAGCATCATTGATAGAGAAAGAATGTAGCACAGCACTGATATCACAGATGTTTTCCAGTTTAAGAGACGTGCAATTATCATTACCACAAATATCACAAGCATTAAGATTATTATCACAGCTATTATTTATATCACAGGCAAATACACTATTATCACAGTAAACACTCGCAAAATTAGTCGCAAAAGCGTTGACAATATCTTCGGGAGTTGACACAATACTATCACCAAAAGACAATTCTGCTGGTATTGTAGGCGATTTTCGTTTGGCTTTTACAAAGGACCAAAACTTTTTAGCATCATGTTTGATGGAGTTTTCGCTGGTTTCAACAAATCTTATATATTCCATGCGGCTTTGCCTTCTTATTTCCTTCCTAAGAATTTTGACTTTGTCTAAATGTAGTAAATTTTTCGTTTTACGGTATAAATTCCACTGCTTTCTTTTTTCTGTTACTTTATTAATAATAGAACTTGTAAACCATATGGGGTACTTGGCACGTTTAGAGTTATAGGCTGTTGTGGGTACATATTGATCAAATAAATTGTATATTACTGAATAAAAATAGTCAGTTGCAGTATCTACTTCTTTAATGTTTTCAAGCTGTGACCAATTAACTGATGTTAGCGCTGCATACAAGTCCGGCAGGTTGGCTTTATAAAAATTAAATTTTACTGCATCTGAACTTTGATGGAAATTGATAGCTTCATAGGAAATGTATGATATAGACACATCTAGCGATGGGTGATGTAAGTCCTCTGGTACTAATGGAAGTTGACTTGATTTACAATTAACACTGAAGTGATCAGTTGACAATACCACATCT